TTCAAGAGCATAGCAAAGGATAGGAGAAAGAGGAGGAAGGATAAAGCACAGGGTGGTATGAGGAGCCCGGGGGATAAAAGGAGAAGAGAAGGTGAATTAGGCAGGCGCTGCATTGGGGACGGAGGAGGAAGGGGGGTGGGTGAAGGGAGAGCAGCCCAGCCTGCACCATGCCCACCCTGGGAAGGGGGCACAGACAGGGCCTTCATTGTGTGGGCACAAAGGGGCCATATGCCTGGCAGCCTACACAGTGTGTGTGTGTGTGTGTGTGTGTGTGTGTGTGTGTGGTGTGTGTGGTGTGTGTGAAGGGAAGGAGTGGCTTAGAGACCCCCCACTCTCAAACCCCTGGGGCCCGGCCTTCTGCTCTGTCCCCGGGAATGAGGGTTGCCGAGATGGAGGGCAGAGGGGAGCCATTATGACAGGCAGGATTGGAAGGTCAGGGGCCTGTGGGTAACTGGGGCTGGGAGAGAGCCCGSACAGCTGGAAGGGGCCCTGCTGCAGATGGGATCCTTGGGAAGAAGACAAAGGAGGAAGGAAGGGGTGAGAGGTGCCAGAGTCTTGCTCACCTGGGCCCCCACGCTGCCCCCTCCACCCCCTGGCCCACCACCTGGGTTTTGGAGGGAAGTGAAAGGAGGCCACCGGACTCTCCTAGCAATCTCTTTCCTCCCTCCCCCTTGTCTGTTTGTCCAGACGCTCTCACTCTCCCTTCAGCCCAGGGACTCCCGTCTCCCTGACCACCCTCTTCTACCACCCATTCCCTGTTCCCTCCTCCTCCTCCTCCTCCTCCTCCTCCTCCTCCTCCTCCTCCTCCTCCTCCTTTCCCCATCCTGCCGAGTGGAGTGGCAGCCGAGGCCAATTGATTATCTGAAGAAATTCGGAGCTAGCAGTAGAACAGCTGCAGCTGCCCCCTCCTACCACCCCCAGGCCCTGAGGGACCCCTGAGGGGAGGGGCCCCTAACCCCTCTGCTCTCCAGCCTGGGAGGGAGGGAGGCAGGGAGCTCCGAGCACMGTGAGTGGCTGCTGAGCAAGGAGAGACCCAGAGCACTGGGGGGTGCCAGGCGCAGAGGAGTGGGGTTATGATCCCAGTCAGTCATCATGGATGAGTCACATCACCTTTAAAGCAAAGGTGTTGAGCTGGGCATGGTCCTGCCTGCTCATGATCTCAGCTTCCCTGGAGGTTGAAGCAGGAGGATTGCAAGTTCAAGGCCAGCCTCAGCAACTTGGTGAGAACCTGTCCCAAACGAAAAAATCAAAAGGGCTGGGGGTATAGCTCAGTGGTAAAGTGCTCCTGGGTTCTTTAATCCCCAGTACCACCAGCAAAAAAAAAAAAAAAAAAAAAAGGTGTTGGATTCAATGATTTCTATACTCCCTTCTAACTCTCATCCTTTGCTGCCCCCTCATCTCAGTCCAGCCCTCCCTCTTGCCAGTCTCTGGGGTTAGCATCTTCCTCCCACTGTTTGCCTCCAGCATTCTCATAGGACCTCCGACTTGGAAAGGATCTTCAAATGGAGCTAGCCAGGATTCCATCCGAGGGATGGAACGACAGTATCTCTGCAKGTGATTGATTCTTCAGCCTCTCCACTTGGCTTCCTCTTCCTTGAGGCAAGTGCTTTCCTTTCTGGAGGGCTCCAGGTTTTGCAAATCTTTTCTTGGAATTAAAACCTGCCCTCCTATAATCTCTACTCACCGGTCACTAATCTGGGTTCTGCCTCCCGGGGCCACCAGAATGTGTTTTTGCAGTAGTGAAAATAAAACCCAGGGGCACTCTACCCTGAGCTACATCCCCAGACCTTWTTAATTTTTATTTTGAGACACAGTCTTGAGCTAGTTTGCCCAGGTTGGCCTCAAACTTTCGATCCTCCTGCCTCAGCMTCCTGAGTCACTGGAATTTGGGGGGGTACCACCTCTGTACCCAATTTAGATGTACTCTTATCAAGACACCTAGCCTCCATTTTTTACCATCTCTTCCATGAAATATCTCTAGACCTTTTGCTTTCTTGACCACGCAACTCTGAATCTTCTCTAGTTTATCAATTTGGTGAAAATGTGGAGTTCAAAAGAGCACCACCCATCTGTATGGATCATTTCAAGGAGGCAGAGGAGAGTTGACAGCAGAGGGCATCAAGAACATGGCTTTAGGGGCTGGAGGTGTGGCTCTGTGATAGAGCACTTATTTCACATGCTTGAGGCTCAGGGTTCAAATCTCAGCACTGAAGAAAAGAAAAATATGAGTCTAGTCCTAGTTGTGTGACCTTGGGCAAGTCCTGTACCCTCTGAAGACTTTAGTTTTGTTTTTTTWAWTTTTTTTAGTTGYAGTTGGACAATACCTTTATTTGTTTGTATGTGGCGCTGAGGATCAAATCCAGAGCCTGGCGCCTGCTAGGCRAGCACRCTACCACTGAGCCACAACTCCAGCCCAGGACTTTAGTATTTTTATTATTTTTGGGTCACATCCAGGATAACTTTGATGTCTGCTCACCACTCTTTTTTATCCCTTTCCTCATTTTTTCTCAGTCCCGGGTCCTGCATCGTGTTCTCCCCAGTATCTTAAAGCTGAGGAACACAGATGGGCTGTGGTGCACGCCTGTAACCCCAGGATTGGGGAGGCTAAGGCAGGAGGATCACAAGTCTGAAGCTGGCCTCAGCAACTCAGCAAGGCTCTCAGCAACTTAGTGAGACCCTGGCTCAAAATTTTTAAAATTAAAAAGAAAGKGGGGGAGGCTGCGGATATATCTTAGTTGGCAGACTGCCTGCCTCGCATGCACAAATCCCTGGGTTCAATCTCCAGCACCACCACAAAAAAAAAAAAAAATTAATTAAAAAAGGGCTGGGGGTGTAGCTCAGTGGTTAAGCACCCATGGTTTCATGGTTTCAATACCCAGTACCAATAAATAAGTAAATAAAGCTGGGGAACACAAAATAGACCAAAAACTGAAACTTCAAGGAAGTTTGACCTAGTCTAGAGACAATAAAGRAGAAAGCAATGTCTGGCTTCCATGCCATGGGTTTTCACAGGACATATGTTTAACTTGGATTTCACTGGGACCCTCAGGCCCATAGGAAGTAGGAGCTAGAGCACATCAGAGATGTTAGCAAGTGTCACCTGACAAGCACCAATTTAAGAGTACATGGAGCTTAAGTGAGGAGATCTGGAAACTGTGTTAGACCCTCCCCTGACCTCTTTGYCCTTCTTTCCATTTTCATGCACCCACCACACTGAGCTTTCATGACCACCCACCTCCCAGAAGAACCTTCAAAGCCTAGGACCCTCAAGGAGTATTCACAGTTATTATTCATAACCTATGGGCCAATTTCCCAGCCCAATTGAATAAACCATAGCCATATATGGCGCTAGAACGAGGTCACTTTAATTTTTTTTTTTTTCTGTATGAAATTGGAAATGCAACAGGAAGGAATTGGACACAGGACGCAGGACACAGACCCTGGGGGCCTGCTCTTGGTGGTATTAAGAAGAAGAGCGGGTCATGGGGAAGGCTGGAGAGAGGAAAGACGTGGCTGGGACTGGGTGGGATCGTCAGGGGATAGAGGGTGTTGACAAAGGACATCCAGGAACCCAGCAGTTGGGGAGGGGCACTGCCCCAGAGAACCAGGAGTTCAGGACAGGTGATCTGAGGAAGGGATATGGGTGTGGTGATAAGGGGGCAGGGTTCCCACACACACCTGGAGTTGGAGAAGGGGCAAGAAAAGGAGAGGAGTGATCAGGAAGGGAGCCAGAGAGACCCAGCTATTACAGCTGGGAGTCCCCCTCCATCTACCCCAAAGTGCACAACTCGGCAATAAATAGTAATATTTATAAATAAATAAATAAATAGATAAATAAATAAATACATAAATAAATATCCTTGTAGAGCTAGGAGTTTGGTATGAGGGTGGAGAGATCATAGAAACGCAATAAGTTCGTTTCTTCTAGACAGGTTCTAAGGTCCTTCCTTCTGCTGGCCCAGGGCTGTGATGAGTGAGTGGGGCTCAGCACCATGGGGTGGGGGAGCCATGAGGTGGGGTGGGGGTGTCTCTTCTTTTGYAATGGCAGCTTAAAGAAACAGGAAAAAAAAAATGTAGTAAATAGGCCCTAAGACCAGGAGCAGCCCTGGAGGGCAATAATAGGGCATCCCCTAGCATCTCAATGAGGAGACAGCATGGGTTCTGTCYATCCTCAGGGTGGGCTGGGGATGAAGGAGAATGGCTGTCAGGGCTGCCCCACCCACCCATGGCCTGGGCCTTCTATAGGTACCTCATGCTATTTGGAGATGTCACCCCCATCCCAGGATTGAGGTTTTTCCTTTTTTTTCCTTTTCCTTCAGTGGCACACAGGGAGAAATTGGAATAGTAGGGGGCAGGGAGACAGCCAAGTAACTCAGCGAGGGCAAGGCACTCACTACTGAGCTGAGGTCTGTATGTGCTGAGCCTCAGGAATGAGATGGACCAAAGAAAAGCAAAAAAGTTTTCTATTATTCCTGGCTACTGAGATTTCSCCTTTCATGTGTTATTTCACTCACCTCCTATCTCCCAAGAGCCCTCCTCTCCCCCAAGCATACTGAAGAAGCCCCTTCCTGACTCCAGCCCCAGCCGTACAYCCTCCCTTCCTGTGCTGATGCGCCATCCACACCCTGGGCTAGAACAGATGGAAGAGAGTCCGGGTCTGGAGCCTGAAAATCTGGTCATAGGGGTAGAAACAGCAGCACCCAGAGACGGCTGGGTTTAGGAAATCCACCAGGGCCCTGTTCTGATCACTCTAGCGAATGATTCTGACCAGATTCTGACCCTCACAGCCACAGCCACCCCCTGAAGGGACCCATGAGAACAGCCATCAGGGTGCCCAGGTCAGTAAAAGAAAATGGCCTTCAGGACCAGCGGTGGGCACTGTCTGGGCCTGGTGCCTTTGGGATGGGGAGGAGAAGGCCACTCTGAGCAAGGAGCAGTAGAAGGGACTCTAGAGAGGCCCCAGAAGGAGGGGAGAGTCCGGGGCTGGAGGCAGGCTGAGTTCAGACGTCCAGCACGTGGTTCAGGTAGGAGATGTAGCAGATGGCGAGGCGCAGGATCTCAATCTTGGAGAGCTTCTTGTCCGGAGGCAGCGTGGGCAGCAGCTTCCGCAGCTCGGCGAAGGCCAAGTTGAAGGCCTCCACGCGGATGCGCTCCCGCGTGGCATGCGCCGTGCGGTACTTGGCGGTGGCCCTGCGCCGRCGCCTGCGCTCTTCGCGGCTGAGGTGCTGCAGGTCTTTCCGGCCCGGCTCTCCCGGCTCTGACCCCCGGGCCTGGCCCCCGCCCGGACACCCCGGCCCAGCACTCTCGGGGCCTGCCCCACCCCCACAGTCGCTGAAGCCGGACTCGGCCTCCGAGTGAGTGGGAGGCAGGTCCAACTCCACGGTGTCTGAGTTGAGCATCATGATGGTAGCCCCGGGTCCACTGAGATGGTGATCCCCTCCCCACCCCTCCCTCTTGGAGCTTGAAAGCTGGCGGTGGGAGGGGCAGGAAGGGCCTGGGGTGTTGGGGTCTGCCACTGAGCTCTGGAAATCAGAGCCACTTCAGGGTTCCATGGTCAGGGTTCCAGAATGGAGCCTGAAACAGAAAGGTCAGAGTCAGGGAAGGGGGTGGGGGTGGACATGGCCGAGGGGCGAGAAGGAACTGTGCCTGCGAGGGAAGAACCGCAGAACCGGGCAGGGCCAGAGAGAGACAGACGCGTGGACACGGTGGAAAGCGGCAGAGAAGGAAAACAGGAAGAAGGAAAGAGGATCCAATCTGGAACTGGAAGAGAAAAGTCAAAATGAGGGCTAAAAGTGAGCAAGAAGATTTAAGACCTAAAACTGTAGAACGGCTAGACGAAAATGTCAGGGGAAAGTTTCATGACATGGGACTTGACAGTGATTTCTCGGATAGGATACCAAAAGCCTAGACAATCAGAGCACAAGAAGATAAATGGGATTACATCCAACTTCACCTGGTACATTAAAGTACACAGTCAACAGAGTGTAATCTGTGGAATGAGAGAAAATATTCTCACATCGTATCGGTGACCAAGGGTTAAATCCAGAACATATGTCCTGCATCTCAACAACAAAACTATCAGATAACCTCATTAAAAAATGGGCAAAGAGGGCTGGGATTGTAGCTCAGTGGTAGAGCGCTTGCCTTGCCTGTGTGAGGCACCGAGTTCAGTCCTCAGCACCACATAAAAATAAATAAATAAAATACAGATATTAGGTCCATCTACAATTAAAAAAGATTTTTTTACAAAAAAAAAAATAGGCAAAAAAATAACTGATCAATTTCTCCAAAGATGATATATAAATAACCATGCATGTGAAAAGATACCGAACATCTTTAATTACTAGAAATGCAAATCAAAACCACAATAAGACATCATCAACTCACACCCACTAGGGATGGCTACTATATAAATAGGATAAAAAGGACTGGGGATGTGGCTCAGCCACAGTGCACTTGCCTAATATGCAGGAGGCCCTGCAAAAAAAAGAAAAAGAAAAAAAGAAAAGAAACCCAAGATCAACTCTAAAACAAAATTGGTTTGGCAAGAATGGGAAAAATGGGAAGTTTCATGCCCTGTTGGTGAGACTGTAAAATGGCACAACTGCTATGGCAAACAGAATGAATGTTCCTCAAAAAATGAAAAATGAAACCACCATATAATTCATCACTTCCATTTCTGGGGATATATATATATATATGCCTATTATTCTTAGAAAGGAAGGAATTCCTGTCATATGCTATAACAGATGAACCTTGAAGACCATTAAGTCAGTCAGTTGAAAATGGACAAATTACTGTAAGTCCACTTACATAAAGTTACCTAAAGTGGTCTAATTCATAAAAACAGAGAGTAGAGTGGTGGCTGGCGTGTGGAGGAAGGAGTGGCTTAGTGAGTCCAGAGCTTCACATTTGCAAGATGAAAAAGTTCTGGAGATTATTTCACTATATGTTGAATATACTTAACACTACTGAGCTGAATACTTTTCTTTCATTCAGTATTGGGATCTGAACCCACTGCTGCTAAGCAACACCCCTATCTCTTTTTATTTTTTTAAATTTTATTTAGGGTCTCACTAAGTTGCCCAGGCTGGCCTTGAACTTTCTGGCCTCCTGCCTCAGTATCCTGAGTAGCTATGATTACAGGCATGCGCCACCATGCCCAAATTAACTGTACACTTAAAAATGGTTTAGATGGCAATTTTTGTTACTTTTTTACCATAATAATAAATAAAAGGTAAAAACTGAGCAAGACTGGAGCTATAGCTCCAAGAGAGGTTGGCTATGGCTCTAGACCTTTCCCAATTGTGGCAGGGGAGGGGGTGTGATTGAAAATCTTGGCCTGGTAATCTTTTTCCTCCCACCCCTTGCTTCTTGGGGTGGGGGTTAAAACACACGGATTGTCCATTGTATGGTAGGCTGGGACATATGGAGCTTAGCACAGCTGCCCTAGCTTAGTCCCTCCAGTCCCCAAAACCTCCTTGACATGACCACTGTGGACATTTGATCCTACCACCATTCGAACCAGGGGAAGATATCTCTTCTCATGACGATCCCCCTGCCCAGGACCACCTTTCTTCCATCTCTGTCCTCAGCACATTCAGCCCTTGCCATGCCCTGGCCCTTTTGGAGACTCCGCAAGGAAGTTTGGGGAAAGGGAACATAATCACTCTCCCATATTCCAAGGTAGTTCAGGCATGGCCTGAAGAGGAAGGCGTAGACATTTTCTTGGGGCTACCCTTGTGAGGCTTGGCTGAGATTTGCTTGTCTCAGGTCCAGAGGAGATCAGTGGAAGGCAGCAGGAACGTGGCAGGGGAAGGGGCTTTGGTTGAGAGGAGTGTTCGTAGAAACAGTGAGCTCAGCCTGACTTAAGTAAGAAACAAGCACTGAGGCTCCTTTACAGTCACCATCTCCCCTTCTTCTCAACCCTGGCTTTCTTGCCTGACAGACACTCTCCCTGGGGCCAGGATGCCCCACACCACAGAAGACAGGCTCAAGTCAAGTAGACAGTTAATAAGCTCTAGGGGATGCAAGGTCATCCACATCTGATTGCGGGGAAGACAAGCACACACACAACCATGACACAAAACAGATGAAGGTTCATGCTGAAAGTAAGAGCATACTCCATATTCCAGGATCCAAAGGAAGGAGAGAGATGGCACTCGTGGAGGATAGTGAAGGAGAATCACGGAGTGCATGATGAGTGCCCCAGCTCCTCRCTCCCATACTTGGGTTGGAACTAGAAGATTGTTTGTAGTATTTCCAGTACATCTATCATAACCAGATTCTGCCTTTGCTGGTCCCCTTGTCCCTTCCATCCTGATCACTATCACATGCCCTCTCTGTGCTCCTCATTTGGCCTCGGCCCGTCTCCATCTGTCGCCACTGTCCTCAGCTCCAGTCTGGGCAGCAGCTTCTATTTCCCTATTAAGTTCTCACCCCCAAATCCACATCTGGTCTCAAAGTTCCAGGATCCAAGGATCAGAGATGCTGCCATCCTAGACATCCAGGATAGGACTTCCCACCGTACTTCTGTCAACCGCAATTCGATTGAGGACAGACAGGCACAAAGAGTCAAAAAGAAGTGGGGAAGAGGCAGAGATGGAGAGACACAGCACACGAGAGAGAACCGGAAGGAGGCTCTGGGAAGGGGCTTAAGCCAGAGAATTGGAAGAACACACCCACCCCTGCCCAGCATCCTGTTTCCCCTTTTACCTAGGAGGACCCAAGGGATCCAAGCCGGCAGGACAGAGGGGCAGCGTTGAGAGCCCCAGTCTCCTCTGGCTGCTCGGGGTTCATCCGTCTGCAAAGTTAGTGACCGGCTTTCTAGAGCTCTCGGAGGGAGCTTGGCGTGGCTGTACAGGCTCCACAAGAGATGAAAGGGGCACACATGGTGGAGGGAGTGGGCTTGGGCAGGTCCTGGGTCCACMCACACTCACAGACACAGACACATACACACCTGAGGTGGCCCAGCCCTATGTATATATATGGAGATACACATACACACCCCCAGCTCTCCATTGGCTTACCCATGCCCCCCCTCATCAATATTAACTAGCCAGGCCAGGCAGCCATTGGCAGAGGGATCTGGGAACCCCCCCGGGAGCTGGGGGTGGAGGCTGGCCCTGGGGGGGGGCGGAGAGTGGGGGAGCAGGGACATCTGTTCTCCATGCATATTTCATAAGCAAGAAATGGAGAGCTGGGGAAGGGGTGGGGCTGGGGCCAGAGCCAGGGCAGGACCACAGATGAACCCCCTCAGCCTCCCATGCCAGAGGCAGTGGGGCAGAGGGCCCTAGCAAGCTAGATTTAAGTGCTATAGTCCCATTCCGAGTCCCAGCATGACTTTTCTCTTTTTTCCTAAGAAAAAGGATCTCCAAGGTACTAACAGGAAACTGAAAAGAGAGCAAGTGGACATCACTAAAACAGGACAAAAGGACCCGGGAGTCCTGGCTCTAACTAGGTGCTCATTTTCATAAAGTTGGTACCCACCCCTCGCCAGACTGCTYCTGGCTACTGTGCAGGCCCTCACCCTTAACACCCTGAGAATTACTCACCCTGCCCCCTCTTATCCAGCCCCCATCTTCCTACCTACTCCATCACTGGGCCGTGAGTGGGGTCAGAGTCTGGACACAGACCCCATAAGGAATTATTTGAGGCTGGTCAGCCTAACCGCACTCACTGGAAATTAGGGASTCTTAGGAGGAGAGAGGTAGGGGATAAAGGCCAGGAGGGAGGAGTGCCAAGAGAGGAAGAGCCAGGATTGGAGAGGACGCTGGGAGAGGAGGGCAGAGTTTGGAGTGTATGAGGCAGGAAATCAGCAACAAGAAAAGTGAATCAAAACTATGTGCAAATGAGCACTGATTAAATTCACATGAATAGCTCAGTAGCCTCCATTGTGTGTGTGTGTGTGTGTGTGTGTGTGTGTGTGTGTGTGTGTATTGCAAGGTGACAGGAGTGGGGAGGGAGCACCCAGTGAAGGGAAGCACTGAGACAGGGGACTGGATTTCAGTATCCGAGTTCTCTTTCCCTACCCAGCTGTTGAAAGTCTTCATTGAACCTTTGTGACTAGAAACCATGGATGGAGAGGACTCCAGAGACAGCTGTGTGACCTTGGACAAGTAACCACCTCTTGAACCTCAATGGCTTTTTTCTGCTTCTTGGGTCTCCATGGAGATTAAGGCTGACAGTGTTTGCTGTGGGCCTAGACTTTAGCAGGAGCACAGCCAGCCTTCARACTAGGAGTTTGCCACTTCTCTGTGACTGATCAATCTTTTCTGGGCTTTCTCCAGTTGAGGCATTCCCTCAGGAGAGTTCCATAATTCCTCCCCAACTCCCCCTGCTCTCCCTGCCCCCAGGTCTGGGAGGTGCCAACTCCCACCTGGGCAGGCCTCGACAGGTGCCC